GAGTTGCTAGATATTTGAAGGGCACCATTGATTATAGGCTAATGTTTGGAAGTACACCACCTGTATTAGAAGGATATTCCGATACCAATTGGATATCAGATTCAGATGAAATAAAATCCACAAGTGGTTATATCTTTACACTTGGTGGAGGTGCTGTGTCTTGGAAGTCTTCCAAACAAACTTGCATAGCTCGGTATACCATGGAGTCTGAGCTTATTGCCTTAGAAAGGCATGTTCTGAGGCTGATTGGTTAAGGAATTTCTTAGCAGATCTTCCCATTAAAACTCACTCTCCTGTTTCAGTATCAATCCATTGTGATTGTCAGGCCGCAATAGTGAGAGCAAAGAGCAAAATTTATAATGGGAAAAGCAGACATATCCGGATAAGACATACCATTATAAAGCAGCTGCTAGAATTTGGGGTAGTGAGCCTAGATTTTTTGAAGTCAGAGTTAAATTTGGTCGATCCTCTGACTAAACCACTAAGTAGGAGGTTAATGGAATACACGTCGAGGGGGATGGGACTTATGCCTAAAGCATAAGGCAAGAGTGATGGTAACCCTACCTATGTGATTGGAGATCCCAGGAAGTAGGTTTATAAGGGTAATGACAAGTCACTTGTTGTCTTGATAAGTATTATCGAATTTTATATAGAAAGTCCTCCCTATGGCGAGATAATATTGATTGCAGTGAATAAGGCTGAGTAGAATTAATCTTAATGAAATCCATAGCCAATATAAATGGTGGTGTGAAAAACTACAATTCACACCTTATGGAGGTTCACCTATGTGAGTGTGGAATTGGGTCGATTCCTATGAGAGCTTAGGCAGGCATCTCTAGAGCACTCATGAAATCCAGGCTAGCACAGGGCCATAAATAAAGTGCTAAACCGCAGAACAATATACAATATTGAGAATCTAGTGTGAGGAACTAATCCTCTGAATTACATAAATAAATTTTTGGTTCATAGAAACTTAGTTTCACCAAATTTCTGTAACTCACATTTAGTTACTCAATGATTGGTTCATAGTCTGAAAGGCACCAACTCATAAACATTAAATTATATAATTAGTGGTGATTGGTTATTTTGAAATATGTGGGGGATTATGATAAAAGCTGTTGTTATGGTATTTCAAAATACCAAAATTTAATTGCTTTGGACTGTTATGTGATTTTAATTGCTTTTGGACTATTATGTGTTAAAAGCAATTGAAACTTTAATTGCTTTTGGACTGTTATGTATTAAAAGCAATTGATATTGAATATTGCTTTTTTGTTGGACTATTAGGTATTAAAGGCAATTGAATTGTTCCAAGTTATTGCAATTCAAATGGGTAGTTATGGTTTTAAAAGCAATTGATTGACTTCGGTTACAGCAAGGGAAACGGGCAGAATTTCAAGTATAAAAAGGGGGTGGTTTTCTCATTTGAAATACACAACCTTTCACTTGACAAATCTTTGTTTCTCTGTGTTTTTTAACTTTCCAGCTCTCCTTCACCACTGTTATTTTCTTATATTGTTCTAAATCTCTATTAGAGTGTGCACTCTAAAAGAAGATTCGTCATTGTATCCTGGAGGTCAATCCGTTGTTGAGCCTTGTTGCACCACGAAGATTCTTCCAGTAGGGGCAGAATTCTGATCTTAAGGATAGTGCTTTTACACGCCTTGATGCTACTATCTTGCTGCTATTTCGCTGCTGTTTCACTATTGTATTATTGCTGCATTACTGTTGTCTCCCTGCTATTTTTCTTATTATTTCACTGTTGTTCTTTTGTTGTATTGCTGCTATCTCTCTGCTATTTTTCCTGCGGTTCTATTGCAATTTTCCTACTGTTCCACTGTTGTTCTTCTGCTGTTTCATTACTGCTCTTTGCTGCCAATTTTTGTATTAAAATCCAACAAAAGAGTGGTTCACTCTTAGGGTCTTAGCATTTCTAATAAAAGTGTGAAGGTTTAATAGCAGTTGAGCAAGCTCTTTCTATTAAAAGACTTCTTGGTACATAATGGAAATACTCAAAGACAGAAAGCTTGGAGGAGTGAAGCTAAGTTTTGTTGAGTCAAACCATTATACATTGATTGTGTTTGATTCTTTCTTCCCTGATGTCTTTACTTTGTACAATTTATTTCATATTCATTCATACCTAATAGGGTAATTCATAGGTCTACCGTAAGAGTTCGTTTATGGTTATTAATGGTTACAATCCTCATCAGCCAATTGATCTTATATCTTTACCCTCTCACTATCATTCTTTAGACTTTGCCTTTGATTCTGCCAATCACATTCGTAACATTTATGTTGAAGTTGATGGACGTTAGATTGCTCTTAGTAATGATAATTATAAATTGGCTATTGATATGCATAGTAGACCTAAAGAATATCACGGGGGTGATAGTGTTATAATTTGTATTTGTCCTAAAAGGTTCCCTAAAGCTTCTAAAATAAATCCTGTGATCATGCCACGAGACCTATTCATGTTCTTGAAAAGCTTAAACCTATTACATATTTAATGGACTTACCTAATGATTTGTCTATTAGTCCAATAGTTAATATGGCAGTTTTGTTTCCTTATTGAGACATTTTTGAACCTCATGTGGTTTCCTCTAGTGTTTCTCTGAAGTGTTTCCGTTGCTCTTCAGCCTTGTGCTCCTAACATTCTTTCTTTGGTTGTTGACAAGGTTTCTCATATTTGGAAAGATAAAGTTGTCACATCACCCTATGGTAGGGTTCAATGTCTTTTCATTCATTGGAAAGAATTATCATCCTAACGGAGTAAACGACTTTACACCCATGGACTTTTAAAGTATCACTTTACTACCCAAACTTATATTCAGTTTTCGATACCAACATCGTTACGACTCCACACCACTACTACTATTCGCTTCCCCGATTATCACTCACCAAAACCTCTCAAACTTTGCTCTCACCGACCTCGCCAATGGCCGACAATTGAACGATTAGGGTTTACGTAACCGTCCCTTCCAAGTCAAATTCTTATAAATCCCAACCACTAAAATCCAACATTCCACTACCAAAAGACTCATCGACCTCCCCTTTTCCAAGCCCTAACAGCCTGGACCAAATTTGCTCTCTATTCGTCATCAGAATATAAGTTTGAATAATAAAATGATATTTTGAAAGTCTGTGGATAGGAAAGTGTCATTAAGCAATTATTTAGGTGGGAAAAAGTCGTTAACTCCATCCTAACGTTGATACTTTGTTTTCTAAAAAGGAGCTTCATGACCATCACCCTGTTGCATTAGAAAAGTATTTGACAGACCATTCATCGAAGTCAAGTTTTTCTCAACCAAGGGAAATTGAAACGGGAATTAATAGAGATCCTCCTGCTATCTGAAAAGATTATAAGAGTGAATTTGTTAAGACATTCCTATAGGCTCCATTGTTTTAAAAGCTGGACCGGAGGGCAACCCGCTCTGCTGCCCTGGTCACGGTTCAACCGATCCAACCGATTGGACCGATGACATCTCACACGTCATGATGATGTAAGCACATTTAAAAAGTTTTTTTTTTTAGATTTCTATTTTTTAATAAGATAATAACAACTTAATTACTGTCTAACATGATTCAAAGTTCAAATTCAATAACAATCCCAACATAATTTAACAACAATCCAAAGTCCAAATCCAAACATGATGTTGTATTTACATATTAAATGACAAAATACATAATAAGTAATAATATAATTCCCAGACCAGAAGCCACTAAACATAAAGGTAATCAAATTATAATTTGATGATGAAATTTCTTAATCAAGGTCAGAGAATATAACCAAAATATGGCAGGGACAACATTCCAAAATCAAATATACTCGTAAGGTGAGATTTACAATAGAAAGAATAATGATTTCATTCAATAAAATGTATGAACAATTAAAATATAACACTTCAGCATACACACGGGATTGGGAAAATCATGTTGACAAAAATTGTTGGTTTACAGTTTACACACTAAATTTTATATGCGCCTTTGCCGTGAAAAACTAGGGGATCCTGTTGGTTGAACACCTCTGTAATTTCTACTGGGAGAATTCATTGCTCCGTAGGGTCTGCTTGAAGCATCCATTGAACCTAGGAAGGACACGTATGCGACTTTAGCTGATTCTGGCAAAGAGTCCATCGGAATCGACACCACGAAGCATGCTGTATTGATACGAGTCCACAAAATTTATTGTTTGCAACTCACCTTGAACCAAATTGGATTGTCAAGACATGCATGCCAATCAGCCTTCATGCGTCGATTTCCAATAAGGGAGGAATGCGTCGTCGCGATTTCAGAGACTGGAGTTGCGATCAATTTCAACAACGAATGGTTACGATTTCAGCAAGATTGAGTTTTGATTTGTGTGGGATTTTAGATTTTCACGATTTCATTCAAATTTTTTCGGAGTATTTTGCACGTAGAGGAACTGAGGAAGAAGAAACTGCGCAATGGGAGAAAGTGAGAAATTAGGGATTTTTTTCCCTTTTTAGTGTTAGGCCGGTTTTTCTTGCAGTCCGGTTGGATCGGCGGTCCATTGACAGGTTAAAACGGGTTATTGCGCAATACCGGTTTTTATATTGACTCGAACCGGACATGTGGTCGGTTCACGGTCCAACCGGTTGGACCAGCTGGTCCAGTCCGGCTTTTAAAACAATGATAGGCTCTAGGATTTTATTTTATTTTTGTGTTTCATTTCATTTTCTTTTGGCGTTAGGTTTCTTAGTTTGTAAGGAGCGTAACTTCTTATTCTTTTAGAATTATAGTTTCAATTCTATAAATAGGACCTTAAATCTAGTTTGATATGCAGTCTTTTATAATCTCCCCTAAATTCCTTCTATCCTCTTCTCCAAATTTCTTTCTCTCTCCTAGCTCTCTCATCCTCCTACATCACCAAAATTAATAGAGCAGTTTATAGTAGAAAGGGAAAATAAATAAAATGGTTTTGGAATTTTAAGAATGAAACTCTGCTCCTAAAAAACAAAATGTTTGAAATATCATGTCAATCAACTCTGCTCCTAAATAACAGTTTTCACAAGTATTAATATTTGTTCATATCCCCACACAAAGATAGGATTGGCTTGACAAATTTGAGAAGAAAAAAATATCAAATAAATTGCTAAGTAGATTAAAGGACAAGTAGTCAATAGTCATATACTCAGAAGAAATCCAACACAAATGCAGTTTCAACCCCGGAATTTCAGAATTTTATGTCACTCAATTCTAAGAATCTAGTACTTGATTTTCCAGAACAAAGAGGAATGTGACCCATCAATTGCATACTTCTGTTCATCTGAAGGACTCTCTGTGATTCTGTGAGCAAGTAACTTAGACCTCAACATCAGCAGCAACTCCTTATGCCGTGATTGTTTTCTCTTTAATACTTTAACATAGGCATTCAATCCCAGCCATTCGACTTCCCCATCTTCCAATCGCAGAACCGGTTGGAATTTAGAACCAACATTCACAGATTGCATCCGTCTCTTAATCAGCATATGCATATACCTAACAATTAAAAGAGAAAACAAGGATGTAAGTCGTAGAAAAAAAATTAATAACAGTTTAAGGCTAATAGAATTAAGGTATTTTACATAGAATATTCTTATGTAAAACCAACTTTGGGCTAACCCATTCTAAGGCCTGCCCAAAAAAACTACATATCATTAACAATTTAACTGAGTTTAATAAGGCCTCTTTTTGCAAGAAAACAGCTATAAAAATGGCTTACCTCAAGGATCTTTCAATGATTTTCAGATAGAAGCTTGCGTGTAGTTTGCAAATGTACGATAAGTTGGATACATAACAATGAAATTTCATAGCACACAATAGGAAAGCTTGGTAGATATTTAATCTGACAACAGCAGCTGAGTTTATATTTGAATCAAAGAATATAGGATGGCATTTTGGTCTCATGAAGGCACGTAACCTTGACTTTAAATGATGACCTGGTTTGCCTTGCCAGCAGACAGTAAGCGTGGAGCTCAAATGGTTATTCCAATACCTGATTTATACATTACACAAGTTACTGTGAGAAGAAACTATTGGATGAACATCAATTTGCAAACATATTGTCTTAAAATAACTTATGGTATTACTACCAAAAATCGATTTCAAACCATTAACGTATATGCAGTTAATGCAATAACAACACTTACAGATTTCAGATCACATTGAATAGGATCTGAGATACAATATAATATCTAATTCAGAAAACCGGAACAACATTTAACCAGAATTTTCATTATTTTTAAATTTAATTGGCCATATCCCATCATATATATTCAATTACAAAACTAGCCTAATTTAGATCTACCATCAATGTCGTACCCCATCCAGATAGCTTAATTTGGCAATGCAAAATAATATAATGTTTTACAGTGATCATGGCATCAATGTACACACAAATGCACACCCGCAACCAATTACTTCTGTATTAGTTTCATCTATAAGCTACCATAAATTATCAAGCTGATGCTTAAATTATCATGCTACAACATTAGGCATAAAATATAGAACAAAATATTTATTAAAAATAAAAAAATAAAAATTTTTTTTTTTTGACATTTTCAAGAATAAATGTTTACAAGTATTGAAATATATGAAGAATACGAATATTTTTGCTAAAGTTACAACAAGAATGTCATAATCCTTAGGATCGAGAGCTATGAACCTTGAGATAACACAAATATTGATTTGAGGTCCCTCAAACATCACCATAAATGGAGCCAAATACAAGCTATAAAGGATGCATCTCCCACTAGAAACTATAAAGCAGAAACAAACCTTGTATAGTCTCCCTGAACCTCTGCAGTGCTACAGTTGATGAGCAAACCACTCCATCGAAGAAATGAAATACCATCCTCACCTACATAAACTCTATTAGACAATAGCCCTGATTTATGTCCAATATCAAAATTTACACAGAACTTTTCCTCATTCATGTAGCAGTTGTAACTCGGAAATCCATTCCGCAATCTGTAGAAGAAATTAGTTGCCTGCTTCTTCGAGGTTGATATGAAAATTAAATCGTCAATAAATCGAAGGAGAATTGATGGATATCCTCCCAAAGGATTTTCTAGATCAATGATATACCCCGGTGATGAGATAATTGTATCACCCCGACTACTCTCTCCAAAATGATGACTTCCAGACACAACTTGAAAAACAGATTCTTGAGTTTTCTGGATAAATGGATAGATCACATTCCTTTCCAAATCTCCATAGTATAATGAGCAAAGCAAAGAAGATATAACACTTCCTTGAGGTATACCTATGCCTTGAAGGTAAAACTTTTTATCTAGCTGCAGCACATTGCGCTTAACATGCTCATTTAGATTAAATAAGAGTTCTTCTTTCCTCACATATCGCTTCCAGCCCTGTAACATTATTCCCAGAAAAAAAGGGGGGGAAACAGACAGAAGGTAACCTTGCTCAAACTAGAGGATAATTAAGCATTCAGCACAGGTCAGTCACAATTCTTAACAAGACATCAGTAGCCAAAACTATAAACCATGAATGAAATGTAAGGATATGACCTATCATCAAGAGAGGCAGACGGAGAAAGACGGAGAATTAGTACAACATATATTGTGAAGGTTGCCCTCTGAATAGCAAATAAATTAAGGAAATGAAGGTTACAAAAAGCATTTTCTTTTAAGAAAAGAAAAAAATATATATATATAGTTGGATGAAGGTCCAACCATAAAATGTAGAGGCACATACAGAAATGCAAAAGACCATTTACTTATTGCAAACAGCATCAAACATGAAAAAAGCAATGTGTAAGCAGGTGATACAGATGGTTTTTTAAAATCTCTGTTTGAAGGGGGGTTTTTTATTTTGTAACTGATAGTAACTCTCAAGTTGATGTAGAATAGAAGCTATAACCAACCTTATAAATAAAAAAATAGAAGATCCAAAATGATAAATATTATTATTTACTTCTGTTGAAAAGCTACTAGGTAAATACCTGATTAACAAGAATTCTATGCAATGAAGGAAATGTGAGAGAAGACGTGAATCTTGTACAAGTGCTGACATTATGATCGATCAATACAGGAGGATTATCATGTATCCACATCGATTTCTTTGTAGAGACAACTTGATAGCGATGTTCAAGAAGATATTTATCCTCCAGTATGACATCATTCATTACACTAAGAAGCTTATCTTGATCAATAGAATCAAATGCTTTTGATACATCAGAAACCACAACAAAAATGCCTGGAATGGTTGTTGATCCATTCCTCAGACCAATTAGAAACGGGCATAACTTTCTGTAAACATCATTGTAATCAAACACTGATGATCCTAATTTGTCCGGTTCTTTCAACACTAAACCTTTTAGAACAGCATGTATATCTCGAAGAACACCATTGACAGGTTTATAGTGGTCACATTTCACTCTTTTACGACGCATTTGAGCATCCTTCGGCATTCGAGTGCAAGTATCTTTGAATTCCTTTTTTGCTAGCCTTGATGGTGCTTTAAGATTTGCCAGCATCCTTACTCCATTTTCTTTTGGAAGAAGTCTGAGCTTTGAGAAACCAAATGATCTATGGCTTATAACACTTCTAACAGCTGCATCATCTAACTGACAATAGCTCTTATCTTTCAAGCGAGTGATAGCTTTGTTCATCAAATTTTCCCAAACTGACTTCCGATAATAATATATATCTTGTTTACCATGCTCACTTTCAGTGACATAGAAGTTGGCTTGCACTAATGGCACCACTAGATTTGAAAAGAACCAAAAAATCCAGTTCACTAAGAGTTTATGTTTCATTTTGACCATGGGGTTATTCAGTTTATTGAATTCTTCATACATTTTGACATTCTGCTCCATGCTATCCTTTGGCACCTGAGTTTTCAAGTAGCATGAAGAGTGTTTATCTGATAAGAATGGGAACTTTGAAATTTTCAATTTATGCATACATTGTTTAATAGAGAATTTCTCAAATCTTCTCAGCTGGATAAACTTGGAAATATTTCTCCTTAGTACTCTCCAGTTATAAGGAGTTCCTAACAAATCCGCAGGAATTATACTCCTACAAACAGCCCATATAAATGATTCAACCTGACTTTTCAAGCAATAAGGCTTGATTGCCTCAAAATGAGAATCACTGGCTTCCAGACTTTTCTTGCAATCTTTGCTACAGGAACCATTAGATTTCCCACGTGCTTTTTTACCCAACTCATTCCCCTGAAATTGAAAATCTAAAATAAGGCACAGTTGTATTTACTAGAAGCAGATGTAAATGAAACTAGGAATAGACAGCTGAAAGAAAGCGTTAGGCTAGGATAGATTTTCATATTTGTATTAGTGAAGCACATGCTTGTGAATGCGTAATCATCAATAATCTTCCATTTATTAGCTAACGAAAACACAAAAGATAAAAATAAATAAAGAAAAGAATGGCAAGACTGCTAGATTAGATTTTTAATAATTATTATTCATGACGCATAAAAAAAAAAAAAGAAAAAAAAAAAGGAACGCATGCAAGCAGAAATAGGAAACTGGTGAGGCATACATCAGAACATGTCATTTTTAAACTTCTGACACCTTCATACACCTGCAAAAGTTGAGCTTCGAATACCACAAAGATTACTAACCTCAAACAATGAGCTTGAATTTCCCATAACCTTTTGATCCGATAATGGAACGCAATGCTTATCCAACAACCTCAAATGCTGGCAACTTTGAAATCTGCGTATGAGTATCTTAAGCAACCTAACAAGTTTGTGATACCTGCGGAAACAAAAGCAACGGGAAATTGATGAATTGACTTAATCAAGATGTCAATAGTACTAATATCAATGTACTACCTATGTTTTAAGTTCAACATAAATTTTCGAATATTGCCCAACAGATCACAAAATAGCTTCCTTTTAAGAATCTCAAGGACATTATCTTCATCTTTTTCCAAACAAGCTGACTGGCCACAGAGATTCTATGTTAAAAAGTTTTAAATCTTCTCTCACAACCCCAACTCTTGTTTCTTTTCACTCTAACCATACTAAAGCCTTCATCATTGTTACTTAAATTGAAAATATCACAATATGACTCTCCTTTTCCTCATACCAACAGGTGCTATCACTTATAACACCACAAAACCCCTTAAACAACATCATAAAATTTAAGAATATATTGTTAAATAAAACAGCATAAATATGTGATGTTCAACTTACAGGCATGCAGATCCCATGAGACAAAACTCAGTGCTGTGGGAGCATGCCATGGACTGAGGACTCTTGTTTACATCAGATAAGAAAAATATTTTCGTGATAAGCAACTTTGAATCAGGAAAATTGGGCTTTAAAGAATTCAATATATCTGAAGATTATTAAGGTTCATACATTTTTATTGATACCCTAATAACACAGTGAGTTTGGAGTTAAAGTTTGTTTGATGTGCCAAAGATTGAAAAAGTGAACAATAATGCACTTTACCAAAATAATATGGGGAATTGAAACTATTGAATCACTTATAACTATGCTGATGAATAAAGAATCCATATAGGTAGGGTGATGACAATAGCACTGACAGCCAATCAAAATTCAAGAAGCGAAAGAACTCATAAGCTATGTGCACACTTTAAGATCCTTCAAAGGATACGCCAGCGAGGGAGAACAGTTGAAGAGCATTCCAAACTGTAGAACATGTAACGCCTATTAATAAGATCCCTATCAGTGACTAACTGGGGAGCTTGCAACATCAAACACCAAGAGCATGTTTCTTGCATCTGCAGATGAATCACAATTACAAAAGAAGAAATTGACAAACAATAAAATTAAAGAAATGGTGATGGCAGAAAGAAGGTGCCAATCAAGCCATTAAAATCCACTAACCACAAGTTGTTGAAAGAAGGTTTTCCTATGGCGTATACAGGACGTAAATCAAAAAAGGTTGTAGACCATGCAACAAAATAAAAGACCATCTGACCATTATTGATAAACAAAAATCAAGTTGCTGCTTCTCAGGTCTTCTAAGGAAACCATCTTGTTATATAAATGGCTTACCCTGCTGTTGTCATATTGATGCTTCCCACATGAGCTATCTATATCATTACAACGAATAGTGCAAGGTATCTTATCACTAAATTCTTGTAGATTTATATGCCTACGATTCCTGCGGCGCTGCCAGCTAAAAGGTCTTGAACGCTTTCTAGGTTTAGCAGTAACCTGATCGCAGCTTGTTTGAGGTTCTGGATATGCATTTCCGTCATTTTTAGCAGCAACAGCATCACTTGTTGCAGTACCTACTCCAAGAAAAGTCATCTGACCATTATTGTACCCAGGATGGCTCCTGAATTGCCTTACATAACTTTTGTCTTTACAACCAACACAGCCAATGGAAATTCGGCACCCAACAGAAGAACTTTCTTGCTGTGTCTTTGACACTGAACTAGCAATATCAACTCTTTTCCTCTTCTTTTGGTACCCTAAGCAGAAGTTAAATAAAATCATATGATGTAAATTATGATTCATTACTATTTAACAATTAATTACCAAATTGGATAAATGAAGGATGTCGACCTTGAGAATCTGCTTTACCCTTGAAAAATTCATGGTTAGTGATAGAAGGACCTGTTACTTGATGGTGTTTCTTAGGAGGAAGGGGCAAAAATATTGATGTATGCTGTAGGAGATAACACATGACATTTTCCCCAACCTGCACCACCCAGTTCAAATATGTGGAATGACCATACCAAGAGCATGCCCATATTTTCATAGTTGAAATCTGTGACAAGCAAATGCTTAAGATGACATACCCTTTCTAAAAGAAGCGACCATGATGGACCACTTAGAAGCTCTAAAATGGGGCTCGAACAATTATACTGTTAAATGAACACAAATTCAGTAAGCTCCCCTACGAATTAGCTTAATTATAAGTGAAAACTCTGACTTCGACAATATGCATGGAACCGTTGTGCAAAGAGGTCTCACAGCTATTTTCCGAGTACACCCACTACAACAATTTTAGAAGTTAGAGAGTTTTACCACATATTTTCAGAATGACAAAATAAAATCAATAAATTAATTCTTAACCGAACGTAATTATTGGAACATTAAATTGAAGGAAAAAGTAAGCAGAAGATGATACAATCAGATGATAAACTCGCAGAGGATAAACAGATTTCCGAAGGACGAATCCTACAAGGATGCAGACTAGGTTACTAGAAGAGAAGTGACGTGGCAGACAGCTGGAGCTTGAGGAAAAAGAAATAGGAATGTGATATGTAAAAAAGGAGGGAGTGATAAATTTTTTCCCTCCAAAAGTGTGCCTATATAAAGAGCAAACACTATGTAATAGAAATTTATTTTTCTGAAATCATTAATAATATAAATTATAAAGTAGACTTTTTGTATCAATAATTTTCTCTAACTTTTCTCTCTTTCTCTCAGTTTCTCTTCAACCAAACACTCTCATCTTCTTCTTTCCTCTGAAAATCTTTATTGAAGCCTCCAAACCCTTCAGTAATCACCATGAAACCAAATATTTTGTGGAAAACTTATCAAATATAAATATGAATCATTTCTAAAATTTTACGAATATTTGTTTTTAGCAAAATGTATGTGTTGAAAAAATAAACCATTAACAAAGCATAAAAACTTTACAGTAACTAAAGAAAGAAACTTGCCTTGTCAAAACCACCGTATATAACATTAGACGATTCCATTATCTCACTCATCTCCATAATCCTTTCAACAATCTGAACAAACCAAACGTATTCAAAACCCAAAACCAATCATTTCCAATTGCATTTAACATATACAAATCCAAAGGAACGGAACTGAACCTCGTGTTGGGACCAGTGCGTGACCGGAGAGAAACCGGAGAGAGGCGGCGCTTTTTCGTTGACAACAACGAAGCATTGATGGAGGAGCTTGCGGTAATCGGAAGGATCGCCTGGTTTGATGAGAAAAAACTCATTTTTTGCTTCACCGCGTGACTGCGAGACCAGAGAGATGATTGTTTGGGCAAGAGTTCGAGCTTTTTTACGGAAGAGTCTCCACAGAACCTCTGGAACTCTCCGTTTCTTCGCCATTCTCGGTAGGGAGAAGTTAAAGTGAAGAGCAGTAGAGCGGTCACTCAGGTTTAAATAAAAGCTCGTTTTTCAAAACATGAAACTTTTTAAGTTTGTCGTTTTCTATTTCCGAAAATAATCGAACCACAAAGATTACTAACCTCAAACAATGAGCTTGAATTTCCCATAACCTTTTGATCCGATAATGGAACGCAATGCTTATCCAACAACCTCAAATGCTGGCAACTTTGAAATCTGGTATGAGTATCTTAAGCAACCTAACAAGTTTGTGATACCTGCGGAAACAAAGCAACGGGAAATTGATGAATTGACTAATAAGATGTCAATAGTACTAATATAATGTACTATCTATGTTTTAAGTTCAACATAAATTTTGAATATTGCCCAACAGATCACAAAATAGCTTCCTTTTAAGAATCTCAAGGACATTATCTTCATCTTTTCCAAACAAGCTGACTGGCCACAGAGATTCTAGTTTAAAAGTTTTAAATCTTCTCTCACAACCCCGAACTCTTGTTCTTTTCACTCTAACCATACTAAAGCTTCATCATTGTTTAAATTGAAAATATCAAAATGACTCTCCTTTTCCTCATACCAAAAGGTGGATCACTTATAAAACCAAAAACCCCTTAAAAAACATCATAAAATTTAAGAATATATTGTAAATAAAACAGCATAAATATGTGATGTTCAACTTACAGGCATGCAGATCCCATGAGACAAAACCATGCTGTGGGAGCATGCAGGACTGAGGACGTATACTCATCGATAAGAAAAATTTTGTGATAAGCAACTTTGAATCAGGAAAATTGGGCTTTAAGAATTCAATATATCTGAAGATTATTAAGGTTCATACATTTTTATTGATACCCTATAACACAGTGAGTTTGGAGTTAAAGTTGTTTGAGTGCCAAAGATTGAAAAAGTGAACAAATATGCACTTACCAAAATAATATGGGGAATTGAAACTATTGAATCACTTAAACTATGCTGATGATAAAGAATCCATATAGGTAGGGTGATGAAATAGCACTGACAGCCAATCAAAATTCAAGAAGCGAAAGAAACTCATAAGCTATGTGCACACTTTAAGATCCTTCAAAGGATACGCCAGCGAGGGAGAACAGTTGAAGAGCATTCCAAAACTGTAGAACATGTTAACGCCCGGTGATGAGATAATTGTATCACCCCGACTACTCTCTCCAAAATGATGACTTCCAGACACAACTTGAAAAACAGATTCTTGAGTTTTCTGGATAAATGGATAGATCACATTCCTTTCCAAATCTCCATAGTATAATGAGCAAAGCAAAGAAGATATAACACTTCCTTGAGGTATACCTATGCCTTGAAGGTAAAACTTTTTATCTAGCTGCAGCACATTGCGCTTAACATGCTCATTTAGATTAAATAAGAGTTCTTCTTTCCTCACATATCGCTTCCAACCCTGTAACATTATTCCCAGAAAAAAAGGGGGGGAAACAGACAGAAGGTAACCTTGCTCAAACTAGAGGATAATTAAGCATTCAGCACAGGTCAGTCACAATTCTTAACAAGACATCAGTAGCCAAAACTATAGACCATGAATGAAACGTAAGGATATGACCTATCATCAAGAGAGGCAGACGGAGAAAGACGGAGAATTAGTACAACATATATTGTGAAGGTTGCCCTCTGAATAGCAAATAAATTAAGGAAATGAAGGTTACAAAAAGCATTTTCTTTTAAGAAAAGAAAAAAATATATATATATAGTTGGATGAAGGTCCAACCATAAAATGTAGAGGCACATACAGAAACGCAAAAGACCATTTACTTATTGCAAACAGCATCAAACATGAAAAAAGCAATGTGTAAGCAGGTGATACAGATGGTTTTTTAAAATCTCTGTTTGAAGGGGGGTTTTTTATTTTGTAACTGATAGTAACTCTCAAGTTGATGTAGAATAGAAGCTATAACCAACCTTATAAATAAAAAAATAGAAGATCCAAAATGATAAATATTATTATTTACTTCTGTTGAAAAGCTACTAGGTAAATACCTGATTAACAAGAATTCTATGCAATGAAGGAAATGTGAGAGAAGACGTGAATCTTGTACAAGTGCTGACATTATGATCGATCAATACAGGAGGATTATCATGTATCCACATCGATTTCTTTGTAGAGACAACTTGATAGCGATGTTCAAGAAGATATTTATCCTCCAGTATGACATCATTCATTACACTAAGAAGCTTATCTTGATCAATAGAATCAAATGCTTTTGATACATCAGAAACCACAACAAAAATGCCTGGAATGGTTGTTGATCCATTCCTCAGACCAATTAGAAACGGGCATAACTTTCTGTAAACATCATTGTAATCAAACACTGATGATCCTAATTTGTCCGGTTCTTTCAACACTAAACCTTTTAGAACAGCATGTATATCTCGAAGAACACCATTGACAGGTTTATAGTGGTCACATTTCACTCTTTTACGACGCATTTGAGCATCCTTCGGCATTCGAGTGCAAGTATCTTTGAATTCCTTTTTTGCTAGCCTTGATGGTGCTTTAAGATTTGCCAGCATCCTTACTCCATTTTCTTTTGGAAGAAGTCTGAGCTTTGAGAAACCAAATGATCTATGGCTTATAACACTTCTAACAGCTGCATCATCTAACTGACAATAGCTCTTATCTTTCAAGCGAGTGATAGCTTTGTTCATCAAATTTTCCCAAACTGACTTCCGATAATAATATATATCTTGTTTACCATGCTCACTTTCAGTGACATAGAAGTTGGCTTGCACTAATGGCACCACTAGATTTGAAAAGAACCAAAAAATCCAGTTCACTAAGAGTTTATGTTTCATTTTGACCATGGGGTTATTCAGTTTATTGAATTCTTCATACATTTTGACATTCTGCTCCATGCTATCCTTTGGCACCTGAGTTTTCAAGTAGCATGAAGAGTGTTTATCTGATAAGAATGGGAACTTTGAAATTTTCAATTTATGCATACATTGTTTAATAGAGAATTTCTCAAATCTTCTCAGCTGGATAAACTTGGAAATATTTCTCCTTAGTACTCTCCAGTTATAAGGAGTTCCTAACAAATCCGCAGGAATTATACTCCTACAAACAGCCCATATAAATGATTCAACCTGACTTTTCAAGCAATAAGGCTTGATTGCCTCAAAATGAGAATCACTGGCTTCCAGACTTTTCTTGCAATCTTTGCTACAGGAACCATTAGATTTCCCACGTGCTTTTTTACCCAACTCATTCCCCTGAAATTGAAAATCTAAAATAAGGCACAGTTGTATTTACTAGAAGCAGATGTAAATGAAACTAGGAATAGACAGCTGAAAGAAAGCGTTAGGCTAGGATAGATTTTCATATTTGTATTAGTGAAGCACATGCTTGTGAATGCGTAATCATCAATAATCTTCCATTTATTAGCTAACGAAAACACAAAAGATAAAAATAAATAAAGAAAAGAATGGCAAGACTGCTAGATTAGATTTTTAATAATTATTATTCATGACGCATAAAAAAAAAAAAAGAAAAAAAAAAAGGAACGCATGCAAGCAGAAATAGGAAACTGGTGAGGCATACATCAGAACATGTCATTTTTAAACTTCTGACACCTTCATACACCTGCAAAAGTTGAGCTTCGAATACCACAAAGATTACTAACCTCAAACAATGAGCTTGAATTTCCCATAACCTTTTGATCCGATAATGGAACGCAATGCTTATCCAACAACCTCAAATGCTGGCAACTTTGAAATCTGCGTATGAGTATCTTAAGCAACCTAACAAGTTTGTGATACCTGCGGAAACAAAAGCAACGGGAAATTGATGAATTGACTTAATCAAGATGTCAATAGTACTAATATCAATGTACTACCTATGTTTTAAGTTCAACATAAATTTTCGAATATTGCCCAACAGATCACAAAATAGCTTCCTTTTAAGAATCTCAAGGACATTATCTTCATCTTTTTCCAAACAAGCTGACTGGCCACAGAGATTCTATGTTAAAAAGTTTTAAATCTTCTCTCACAACCCCAACTCTTGTTTCTTTTCACTCTAACCATACTAAAGCCTTCATCATTGTTACTTAAATTGAAAATATCACAATATGACTCTCCTTTTCCTCATACCAACAGGTGCTATCACTTATAACACCACAAAACCCCTTAAACAACATCATAAAATTTAAGAATATATTGTTAAATAAAACAGCATAAATATGTGATGTTCAACTTACAGGCATGCAGATCCCATGAGACAAAACTCAGTGCTGTGGGAGCATGTCATGGACTGAGGACTCTTGTTTACATCAGATAAGAAAAATATTTTCTTGATAAGCAACTTTGAATCAGGAAAATTGGGCTTTAAAGAATTCAATATATCTGAAGATTATTAAGGGTCATACATTTTTATTGATACCCTAATAACACAGTGAGTTTGGAGTTAAAGCTTGTTTGATGTGCCAAAGATCGAAAAAGTGAACAATAATGCACTTTACCAAAATAATATGGGGAATTGAAACTATTGAATCACTTATAACTATGCTGATGAATAAAGAATCCATATAGGTAGGGTGATGACAATAGCACTGACAGCCAATCAAAATTCAAGAAGCGAAAGAACTCATAAGCTATGTGCACACTTTAAGATCCTTCAAAGGATACGCCAGCGAGGGAGAACAGTTGAAGAGCATTCCAAACTGTAGAACATGTAACGCCTATTAATAAGATCCCTATCAGTGACTAACTGGGGAGCTTGCAACATCAAACACCAAGAGCATGTTTCTTGCATCTGCAGATGAATCACAATTACAAAAGAAGAAATTGACAAACAATAAAATTAAAGAAATGGTGATGGCAGAAAGAAGGTGCCAATCAAGCCATTAAAATCCACTAACCACAAGTTGTTGAAAGAAGGTTTTCCTATGGCGTATACAGGACGTAAATCAAAAAAGGTTGTAGACCATGCAACAAAATAAAAGACCATCTGACCATTATTGATAAACAAAAATCAAGTTGCTGCTTCTCAGGTCTTCTAAGGAAACCATCTTGTTATATAAATGGCTTACCCTGCTGTTGTCATATTGATGCTTCCCACATGAGCTATCTATATCATTACAACGAATAGTGCAAGGTATCTTATCACTAAATTCTTGTAGATTTATATGCCTACGATTCCTGCGGCGCTGCCAGCTAAAAGGTCTTGAACGCTTTCTAGGTTTAGCAGTAACCTGATCGCAGCTTGTTTGAGGTTCTGGATATGCATTTCCGTCATTTTTAGCAGCAACAGCATCACTTGTTGCAGTACCTACTCCAAGAAAAGTCATCTGACCATTATTGTACCCAGGATGGCTCCTGAATTGCCTTACATAACTTTTGTCTTTACAACCAACACAGCCAATGGAAATTCGGCACCCAACAGAAGAACTTTCTTGCTGTGTCTTTGACACTGAACTAGCAATATCAACTCTTTTCCTCTTCTTTTGGTACCCTAAGCAGAAGTTAAATAAAATCATATGATGTAAATTATGATTCATTACTATTTAACAATTAATTACCAAATTGGATAAATGAAGGATGTCGACCTTGAGAATCTGCTTTACCCTTGAAAAATTCATGGTTAGTGATAGAAGGACCTGTTACTTGATGGTGTTTCTTAGGAGGAAGGGGCAAAAATATTGATGTATGCTGTAGGAGATAACACATGACATTTTCCCCAACCTGCACCACCCAGTTCAAATATGTGGAATGACCATACCAAGAGCATGCCCATATTTTCATAGTTGAAATCTGTGACAAGCAAATGCTTAAGATGACATACCCTTTCTAAAAGAAGCGACCATGATGGACCACTTAGAAGCTCTAAAATGGGGCTCGAACAATTATACTGTTAAATGAACACAAATTCAGTAAGCTCCCCTACGAATTAGCTTAATTATAAGTGAAAACTCTGACTTCGACAATATGCATGGAACCGTTGTGCAAAGAGGTCTCACAGCTATTTTCCGAGTACACCCACTACAACAATTTTAGAAGTTAGAGAGTTTTACCACATATTTTCAGAATGACAAAATAAAATCAATAAATTAATTCTTAACCGAACGTAATTATTGGAACATTAAATTGAAGGAAAAAGTAAGCAGAAGATGATACAATCAGATGATAAACTCGCAGAGGATAAACAGATTTCCGAAGGACGAATCCTACAAGGATGCAGACTAGGTTACTAGAAGAGAAGTGACGTGGCAGACAGCTGGAGCTTGAGGAAAAAGAAATAGGAATGTGATATGTAAAAAAGGAGGGAGTGATAAATTTTTTCCCTCCAAAAGTGTGCCTATATAAAGAGCAAACACTATGTAATAGAAATTTATTTTTCTGAAATCATTAATAATATAAATTATAAAGTAGACTTTTTGTATCAATAATTTTCTCTAACTTTTCTCTCTTTCTCTCAGTTTCTCTTCAACCAAACACTCTCATCTTCTTCTTTCCTCTGAAAATCTTTATTGAAGCCTCCAAACCCTTCAGTAATCACCATGAAACCAAATATTTTGTGGAAAACTTATCAAATATAAATATGAATCATTTCTAAAATTTTACGAATATTTGTTTTTAGCAAAATGTATGTGTTGAAAAAATAAACCATTAACAAAGCATAAAAACTTTACAGTAACTAAAGAAAGAAACTTGCCTTGTCAAAACCACCGTATATAACATTAGACGATTCCATTATCTCACTCATCTCCATAATCCTTTCAACAATCTGAACAAACCAAACGTATTCAAAACCCAAAACCAATCATTTCCAATTGCATTTAACATATACAAATCCAAAGGAACGGAACTGAACCTCGTGTTGGGACCAGTGCGTGACCGGAGAGAAACCGGAGAGAGGCGGCGCTTTTTCGTTGACAACAACGAAGCATTGATGGAGGAGCTTGCGGTAATCGGAAGGATCGCCTGGTTTGATGAGAAAAAACTCATTTTTTGCTTCACCGCGTGACTGCGAGACCAGAGAGATGATTGTTTGGGCAAGAGTTCGAGCTTTTTTACGGAAGAGTCTCCACAGAACCTCTGGAACTCTCCGTTTCTTCGCCATTCTCGGTAGGGAGAAGTTAAAGTGAAGAGCAGTAGAGCGGTCACTCAGGTTTAAATAAAAGCTCGTTTTTCAAAACATGAAACTTTTTAAGTTTGTCGTTTTCTATTTCCGAAAATAAGAAAGAAAAAAAATGTTTTAAGTTTGTCGTTTTCTTAATAGAATTTAAAAAGGAAAGAAAAAAATGTTTTAAGTTTGTCGTTTTCTTAATAGAATTTAAAAAGGAAAGAAAAAAATGTTTTGCATTGGTTTTCCCCTCCATGACCAAAAAGTCAATTACGTCGTGATTTTTTGCCAAAGTATTAATAAGATCCCAACTGTGAACTGTTCATATTTTAATTATAGGGATTTTTCAATCCTCAAGGTTTTTCAAAATTAATTAACCCCTCCAAAAACTAGTAATTGTTCTCAACACCCTGTTATCTATCTAGGGGTGTGTAAGAATTTAGGGTAAAACTAGAATCGACGAGTACTTGGAGTTCCAGTTCTAGTTCCTATCCGAAACCGACCCTCACAGAGTTGGTTCCGATTATCAAAAATTAGAACCGGCATTATACGATTCCAATTTCGATTCCACCATATTGGAAAATATCAAAGACAGAAGATTTGTTATCTATAATTAGATTAGAGTAGTTGTTGACAATTTGCTTTTGCTAGTTGTAGGATTTTAGTTATTATTCTAGGATTAGCTATAGGATTTTTAGCAAATAGATTAGCTAATTGATTGTTTCTTTCCTTTCTTATTTTTTCTATAAATCCTATAAATACCTACTATGTATATCAATTTGAGATAAGAATCATATGACTTTGATTCCAATCCTATAGTCTTTATGGTATTAGAGCATCAGGCTATTTTTTGGGAATAAAATTGTCAGAAAAGTTTTATCACTATGTCTGAAATTTCATTTGCATATCCCTCTGTTGTCACCACAAAAAACAATGAAACCAAGATTAGCCATACCGAGTCTTATTCTGTCTAGATTATGACTATTCGACTCAAGGAAGGAAACTTTATTCGCTGGTCCCAATCTGTACGTATGTACATCCAGGCAAGATCGGGTACTTGATTGGTGAAATCAAAGCACCTGAGAAGACAGACCCATCATACGCTAAATGGGGTGTAGAAAATTCCATGATTATGTCATGGCTGGTGAACTCCACGAATGAGGAAATCAGTTCCAACTATATGTGCTACTCTATTACAAAAGAACTTTGAGATAGTGTTGTTGAGCAATGTTCTGAAAATCGGACCAGGTCTTGACTCGTTCAATGGCTTGGTTCCCGGGTTGACCGGTTGGATCGGTCGATCGAATCGATGATGTCAGAAATTACCATTAATCCCTAAAAGTTTAAAATATAGTAAAAATACCCCTACAAAATTTTATGTGTCCCTACAGATTTGAAAATCAGCAAAAACACCCCTACAATATGGGCATTATTTCCATCTCCAAGATAAAATATATCATCAAAATTCACTCTACTGATCTGCATATCAAACCATTAAATAAATTTTGTCTTTTCACTTATTTTCCAATTAAAAACCAAATAAATAAATAAAAATGAGAAGAAAAATATTAAACCCCCAACCTTGCCCTTCCCCAACAATACAAGCAAACCACCAGGTCCACCATTACAGCCCTTATTCAAAAACCAGGGCAAAAACTCAACACCCAAAAAGTCAATGTTACAAGGCCTACCTCATCGGCATCACAACCCCACACCAAAGCCACCTCAACACGATTCCCCACCCAAACCATTCCGACCATGTAAAATCATCACCCTCACGCACCACCACCACCGCTTCACCATAAACACACACTTAACAAGAATAATAAAACCTATCCAGCACTTTCAAAAACGTAAGCATTCCACCAACTAAAATAAATAAAAATAAGAAACCCATACAACAAATATAATGTCAAAGATTAAAAAATAAAAAAAAAAAAAAAAAAAAAAAAAAGCAGCCAAAACAAATACATAGATATTAAGTAAAGAAGAAATATAGAGCAACGAGGAAGTGCGACGGCTTCAAAAGCTACTCAAGATGGAGCGAAGGAGTTAGTGGGTTGGGAAAAAGTGTGGCGGCTAGGGAAGGAAAAGTAGATGTGGCGATGGGGAAAGGAATAGTGGGTGTGGTGGCACAAAAAGGAAGAGTGCATGCTATCGAAGGTTTTCTGGCACGATAGTGATAAATCAAAGGTCACTGGTCGGTGGCAGGAGGCAGAGAAGACTATGGATTTAAGATGAAGCTTGAGTTAGTAGGATGAAATGTCACAACCGGGGGCTATCCTTTATCTTGCCATCTTCGGCTCAAGGCGCCAGACACGTCCAAGGTATTGTCTACTTTGGGTCCTTCTAGCCATGCCTCTTTCGGACCCTCACGGATTTGTTTCGCTTCGTGGTCTTTTTTCCACCTTGCGAACGCCTTCCTCATGATTTGAACCTTGAACTTATACCTTGGTCAAGTAATATGAGTACCATTGGGCCAATAAAATGTAATACCCATGATGTCAAAGGTATGTTCTCAACTCAAAATAGTCCTTTAGATGTTAATTTTATTTTAAAAAGCATAAAATCTAACAAAGGGCAAAATAGTCAATTCATTTGGAACGGTATAAATCAATTATTCATAAAAGGGTATTAGGGAAAAAAATGGTCATTTTGCCTATGGATAAGCATTGCAAAAGTCAAGGATGAGTAGGCTTAATTGAATTTAATGGCATTAATTAAGTAATAATTATGTTTAGTGCCAAATGACCAAAATGCCCTTATATGAAGAATTAAGGACTTATGAGTTATACAATTAAAATAATTGGGCCAATAGCATAATTTTGGAAAATTAATGAAATATTTTCCTATAAATGAGAGGAAATTCGTTCAAGCCAAGGGAGATATCATTTCTTCAACCTTTCTTCAATTTTCTCTCAAATCTTCCATGAAACAAGCTTTCTCTCTCTAAGTTTTAAAGAAGTATTGCATAATTTTTCAAGGAGAACAAGATAGGAGCCTTGGATCTTCAAATTGAAAGGTTCAAGGTAAGGATTAAAAACCCTAGTTTTGATGTGATTTGAAGATTTGAGGTAGATGTTGGGGTATAATTTTATATATGTAGGAATAAGGAGTAAAAGAAGATAAAGGCAAAGGATTTGGTGGGGGAATTCTTTAAAAATGTAAGGAAGAACCTCCCATGAATTTAGGAATCATGCTAGGGTTTTTAGATTTTAGTGAAACCTTAAATTAAGGCTTTAAGGCATAGAATTAGTTGATGGCACGTGTAGTTGAACTCATTAATGTTATTTATTGCCTTGAATTCATTATACATGAAGTTATTGCCATTTATGTTTTATGAGTTGTTATGTTTAATTGAAAAAAATGAAGTATTGATGTTGATTGTGGCAAAACTTGTAGAATTGGAGGTCACATAGTGTTGAATGGTTGCTATTAGAAGTGTTGATGTGTTGTTTGCATCAACTTACAATGTTATAGCAATGATGGACGATCATGGGAGTGAGGTTTTACCCTTCCTTTAAGATGTTAAAGACTATTAAGGGGAGGTTTAATTGATCCATAAGTCGACATATTTGTTAATTGTCAATAAAAGTTGATATGGCATGGTTTAATATGAAAATTTCAGATTTAGCAATTTTAGGGGTTATGTTAAACATGCTTCAGTATTTTGACCATAACTTGACTTATAAAAATCTAAATGAGATGATTCTTGAAGCATTAGAAAATTAAGATATAGCCCTATAACTTTTATGTTTATGCCAAGAGCCAATTCATTTGAGAAATAGATGGAAAATGGCTTGAAGAATAAACTTCTGGTTATTAAAGTTTAAGATTTAACATGATCAATTCATCATAAGAATTGATTATTAATGTATTGTTGTAATTAATCTATGTACTAATGTTTACCCATTAGTTAGATGATCTTTGAAAGATATTCATGGTCATGGATGCGAATGCATGATTAATGGCATGAAATGGCATGAAGATGCAATGTAATATATGTTTCAAGATGATGAATGTGAGCAAGAGGTAATGGAAATGGATTGATAATCCATAGATGAATCAAAAGTATTAAGCTCACTAAAACATGTATTTATATACCATAAAATGTTAGAGATGCATATAGACAGGATGGAAAACACGTAAGCATATCCTCGTATTCTGGTTGAGGAAAGATGAATATATGCTTTGAATGCTAAATAACGCATAAGCACGCCTCCCAATGATATGAGCTCTAGATAAATTTGAGGCTAGATGAAAAGAAAGATGAATATATGCTTTAGATTCTAAATAACGCATAAGCATGCCTCCCGATGAATTTGAGGCTAGATGATATAAAGTGCTTAAGACGCTAAGAAAAGTCTGATCGGCTAGACGTTAAATGATTCATATGCATTTAGTGCATTACATGACTTATGATGTTATTTACATCATGAGATGATTTGTACTCATGTTAGATGATATATGATGTTATTTACATCATGAGATGATGTGTACTCATGTTAGATGATATTTAGATGTTATGTTACGACATGTGATGTATGTGCACTACGTTTACATACTTATTTGTATGTGTACACTTGATGTTTTATATGAACATGGGGAAGATGATGAAAAATATATGAGTTAGTAAAGAAAAGGAACCATACTTAGATGCAAAAGAGATGTGGTATGTGAATGAATGTGTTTGAATGAATGTCAAATAACATACTTGGTATTAAATGGATCATTCCTTACTAAGTGGTTGAGTGTTTTACAAGTAATCCAGAAGCGAAGGATGCTGAAGACAACAAGACTATGCGTGAGGGGAGATAATTTATTGTCATCCTGACGTTTTATCTTATGTAAATAACAAATTTTTTCGAAACACTTTTTTAAAGCTTCCACCATATGAATGAAAATGGCATTAATATGTTTTGATTGATTGATGCCCAAATGAATTCAAGTTTTTTATTTTTGAAGGTACAAATTTTGATCCTGTGGTACATCTTATAATA